TTGGAGACGGGGGGGGGGGGGTGCTGCTGAGACAAGCGGCCACCGAAAATGCCGGCACAAGGCGCGCTCGCCCCCCAACCCTTTACCGTCCCCTACCCCTTGCCTGTTGCAAGCATAAAGTTTGGCCCCACAGTTAGGGCTTTTTCTCCCGGCTCCAGGCTGCGGGAAGCCGGGAGAACGAGGATGCGGCGGAACCCAGAATGAGACTCCGGATGCGGGCGCACGCTTGGGCTCGGAGAGGGGCCGCCGGGCGGAACCGGGCGCGGCTCGCGAGGACTAGTTTGGTACCTGGAGTAGGAGCGCCAGTGCCGGCTCGTTTTGCATAACACTGAAAGGGAGGGGGAAGGCGGAGGGGGGCGGGGGGGAGAGGGCTGATAGGGAAACTTTGCTTCTTGTTATAATCTGCCTGTCTTTAGGCGGCAGCAGCTGTCATGGGACCGGGTGGGCGGGGAGAGGCTTGCAAGCTGACTCCGAGCCGTGAGACGCGACTTGAAGGGGACGCAGCAGCCGAGACATTCAGCTCCCGGCGGACGCCGGGTGGCGACTCCGGGCTGGCGGCTGGGATGGCGCGCCGCGGCGTGGCGGGGTGTCGCCTAGAGGAAGCCCGCCACACGCCGGAGAAGACCAGCCCTCGTCCGCTGCAGACGCCTATGCGTCAGGGAGGCGCGGGGCCTCGTGGTCGGTGGCGGGCGCGCTCGGGTGGGTTCCGGGCAGGGGCCGAAGGGGCTGGTGGCGTGCGATCGCGCTTCTCAAGACCGGGGTTGGGGGAGCGTGTGTGCTGAGTGGGGCTGCGCGCGCGGATGTGTGTGTTTGTGTGCACACGCCGCGCGCGTTGAGCGCGTACTTTTACCTCTGACGAAACCGCAGTAGAGCTCCCGCGGCGGTCACCGGGCGCCGTCACACTCCCTGAGCCCAGGTCTACGCAGAATGTCGATCCTAGACCCAGCACCACTACCGTCCCCACAGCCCTTCACCTCCCCCTTCCCCGCCATCGACAGCCGCGGACTAGAGGCACTGGGTGCAGGCGGGGCAGAGTTGTTCCTGGGAATGTTCTGCCTTCGGTCCTGGCACTTGTCTGGTGTCACCAAACCTCTTGCCTAAGATACGGGTGAAGGAGGCCTGACATAGCCAGAGACTGGTTCAGGGACCCAGAGCAATAACTGTCCCAGATTTTAACTCCATCTTCAGTGTTCTTCTGCTCACCAATAATTATTTGCCCTATTAGACGCCCAGCGTGCCTACCCAGTAGGGATATTTCGCCCAAGGAAACTAGAAAATTGGGTAATCAAATGTCAGCAGAAGCAGTTCAGTGAAAGTTAATCTGGGACGTTTGCTTTTTTTTTTTTTTTTTTAAACCACGTGACAGGCTGAGGATCTTCTGGTGATTTTTGCCGGCCCAACTTGGGAAATGTAATTGATAGCGGGAGCTTTGCAGCCGGCCCTAGAAGGCTCCTAGAGCCCAGTGGGAAGAGGACCGGGGCGGGCCATCACGTGCCTCCTCATTTTACAATTGGGGATAGAGGCTGTGAAGGGTGAGCGGCTTGTACAGGACCATGCAGCCAGCGGGTGACAGAGCCACCCAGGGCTCCTGACTACAGGTCCTGTGTGTTACCTCGAAATAGCACTGGACTTGGAGTCAGAAGGCCTGAGTGGAGTCGCCTTCCCCACTCTCTGGCTGGGTGACCCCAGAGCAAGCCATTTTAACTCTTGGAGCCTCCTATCTACCATCTGTCAAATGGGGCTATTGATGCCGGCAGGAGAAGCCAAGGGCCTGGTGGTGGGGGTGAGCACTGTTTGCATGTGCCTTGTCTGGTTCCTGCAATTTCCTCCTTCACCCTTCCCCCCTCCCTTTGGAAAGGGTGGGGAAAGTGAATAAAAACGTAATTTACTGTCTTTATCCGAAAGACTTGTTGTCTTTAGTAGCTAATCCAGGGTGAGATAGAGGGAGGACTTCTATTTAGGAGACTTAACTTTTATCCATTCTGGCCAAAGTTCAGAAATCCAGCAGACCAAGGATTGTGAAAGTTTCTTGGAAAGGTTTGGGACATGTATTCCAAAGGACTTTGGATTGGCTTCACCTTTGCTCAGGCCGTGCCCCTTGCCTGCAATGCCCTCACCTACCCATCCTGCATGGTCTTCTCTAGCAGGCCTTCCCAGCCTGGCTTGCTCTGCTTTCTCTTCTGCTTTTCTTAGTTTGTGTGTGAATACCGTGTCCCAGTAAGATTCAAGAGCTAGAGTTGTGCCTTTCATCTCTTTGTGCCCCTATGGCACCTGTCACCATGCTGACTTCCTTTGCTCAGCTCTTGGCTAGGCACATGAATTACAGGCAGAGGAAGCTCCTGGGCTGGCCAGAGAGACAGCTGGGCAGTGAATATGGGGAGAGAGGAATGCAGAGGGCTGCAGCTGTGGGCAATGACTTAGGCTCCAAAGGCCACACAATAAGCCCATACTAAATATGGGTTGTTTGAAGTCACTTAGACATCGATCATAGATGTCCGAAATGTCAGAGTTGGCAGGAACTTTATAAATCATCTGGTCCAACCCTGTATCATTTAAAAATATTTAATTGTAGAATTGTTAGAAATATTGGCAAGCATAAAAGAAGAAATTGAAAATATGTAATCTTACCCAAAGGTAATCACTATTAGTTATTATGTATACTCCCAGACTATTTTCTTTCCTATTGATTCCTATTGATTATATCTTTGTAGAAAAATAGAGTCATTCTTTGTATATTAATTGTAACTTGGAATCACACTGTTGTAACTTGCTTTTTTCCCCGCCCCTAAACAATATACTGTGACTACTCACATCAATAAATATCCTACTTACTGTCATAATATCTTAATGATAATATAGTATTTCATTGAGAGTTGAACCAAAATGCATTTAATCAGTCCTTTATTGTCATTTAAGCTGGTTTTTTTTTTTTTGGTTTTGTTTTGTTTTGTTTTGTTTTTGCTTGTAAGCTGTGCTAAAATGACTATCTTTGCACATATCTTCTTTCCTTCATTTAAATTTCTAGAAGTGAAATTACTCTGTCAAAAGAACTATACAGGCGTTTGGTAAACGCATTTCTGGATTGCCTTCTAGAAAGATTGTGCTAATTTACATACTTACCTGCATCAGGTGGGAATGCCTGATTCCCTATTCCCAGATAACTCTTGGTATTTTCATTGTTTTTCATTTTTACCAGTTTGTTCATCAATAAATTGTCATTTTTATTGTTTTAATGTGCATTTTTTGATTACTTGTGATGCTGAACATTTTCCCCTTATGATTATGGGCCATTTATGGTTCTGTTCTATAAAATGCTGTGTTTGTAAACTTGGTCCATTTTTCAATTGGTATTCTATCCCTTCATTGTTCTAAAACTGGATCTGAGCATTGAGAAGGGCCCCCGACACATGGAAAATTGGGAAAATGGCTTGAAGTCCAAGTGTTCTCTTGCATTTCATCTGAAATGTTGCTGCCTCCACAGCCCCCAGAGTAGGGCCAGCTTCTTTTCCAAGTCAGAGTTCTAGCGCTCTGTAGGAGCAGGTTGAAGTGCAGTCTTTGCTAGGTACCTTTGCCTACCCTTCACTTGTGCGAGACCAGGGGGAGTAACTTCTTCACCCGAGCCCAGAAGGGGACATGTTTACTGGCTTTGTTTATCGGAGGCCTGGGCTCCATTTTCACTGGGGCTCCTTCACGAGTGCTGATGATCAGGACGCCTATGAAACCCAGGAAAGGCAAAGGCCCAGCAACTGGGCCCCAGGGGCTCATATTTCCCCTTCACCTTGGGGCCCTCTTCTCTCCAGCTAGTATAAGCCAGCCAGAAGCTCCCCCACTGCCAGGGTGTGAGTCACCCTTTTCCTTCTCTCTCTGGAATAATAGGAAGAATACTGCTTTGAGTGAGAAGCAGTCTTGCAAATGGGGGCTTAGGCTTGGAAATGAGGCCATAATTCGAGCATTGCAGGGCTAACAGCTATCTCCATCATCATCATCATCATCATCATCATCGTCGTCACCATCATCAACATTTATTGAGCATCCTCTAGATGCCATGCATTCTGCCCAGCCTTCTATTTGCATTATTATGTTTCATTCTCATAAAGATTCTACAAAGGCTTAGGTGCTATTATTATCTCCATTTTATAGATGA